GTCCATTCTTACTGATGCCTCATAAACCACCTTAGAAGTCTATGGTTTGCTTAACGAATCTGCAAGGTTCTTTTCAGACCTTACAAAATCTAGAGCGATTGTACCTTCTCTGAGGTATTGTCTTACCAGGTTATGCCTTAAGCGGATGTGCCTTCTTTTACCATTGTATGTCTGGTTCTTGGCTCTAGCTATTGTTGCTTGGCCTTCACAATGGAGAGATATGGACGGAACCGGCCGCGGCCAAAGTGGTATACCTGCCAGCAAGTTCCTTATCCACTCTGCCTCGGACCCCGCCAATTCTAGTGCAGTAAACTCGATCTCCATTGTTGAACTTGTATTGCATGATTGCTTTACCGATTTCCACGATACTATCCTTCACCTAGAGTAAACACATATCCACTAGTGGAAGCCTTTGAATCTGAAATCCTCGCATCAGTAAAGCCCTCTAAAACAAGAGGAAAGCCTCAGTAGTGTAAACCAAAATTTATGGTTCCTTTTAAATATTTTAATAATCTTACGAGAGCTTCCCAATGTTCATTTCTAGGATTATGAGTATGTTGACTTAAATTTCCCATAACTATAGCTATGTCTGGTGTTGTACAATTCATTAAGTAAGATATAAATCCAATTATACTTGCATACTCCTCTTGTGAAACAAGTTCTCCTACATGTTTCTTTAAGTGAATGCTATAGTCAAGAGGTGTTTTAACCGGTTTACAATCATAGTGTCCAAATTTCCTAAGAATGCTTTCTTTATAATGTGATTGGGAGAGAATAAAGTTTCCTTGTTGTTTATGGATTTTAATCCCCAAGATTACATCAGCCTCACCTAAGTCCTTGGTATCAAATTTGGACATTAGAAATTGTTTTGTTTATTTTACTACCTCTAGACTAGTTCTCATTATTAGTATATCATCAATATATAGACAGATCATGACTCTTATCATTTTCAAATTTGCTATAGACACATTTATCGGAATCATTTCTGCTATATCCATTAGTTATCAACACATTATCAAATTTTCCATGCCATTGATTGGGAGCTTGTTTTAAGCCATACAGAGACTTAATTAATTTACATACTTTGTTTTAAGCCATATATTTCTTCTTCTAATTTCTCATTTAAGAAAGTTGTTTTCACATCCATTTGATGAACTACCAATTTGTAGATGGATGCTATAGCGAACAAAACTCTAATTGTTGTTAACCTTGCAACCAGGGAATAGGTGTCAAAGAAGTCTACATCTTTCTTTTGTCTAAATCCTTCAACAACTAATCAGGCCTTGAATTTCTTTATTGTATCATCTGGTTTTATTTTTTTTCTAAAAATCCATTTACAATCCAAAGCCTTAGTTCCAGGTAGAAGATCTACAAGTTCCCAGGTGTGGTTAGTGACTAAAGAGTCTATTTCACTTTTCATGGTTTCTTTCCAAAATATTGCATCAGGTGAAGTTACGACTTCCTGATAGGTTATTGGGTCCTTGTCCACCAGAAATGTGAACATTCTGTCACCCAAATTTGTTTCTCTTCTTTGTCTTTTACTTCTCCTTAAGTCAAGTTCTTGCCTAAATGAAGTACTGACTCCTTGAACACTCAATTGTTCTTGGTCTTTAGTTTGGTTTTGGGAAGGGTCCCTATTTATTGTTTCTTTTTTCCAAGGAAAGATGTACTCAAAGAACTCTGTATCTTGAGACTCTATTATTATGTTGTTTTCGACAACATTATCAATTGTTTTAATTACAAGGAACTGATAAGCCGCACTGTTTTGTGCATAGCTAATGAACACATAATCACAGGTTTTCAGTCCTAATTTCTTTCTTTTAGGTTCAGGTATTCCAACTTTTGCTAGGTAGCCCCAAACTTTTAGATAGTTCAAACTAGTTTTTCTGTTATACCAAAGTTCAAAGGGTATTTGTCCTTTCTTCTTAGGTGGCATTCTATTATAAAGGTGACAAGCAGCTAGGGTTGCTTTCCCCCACAAATTCAGAGGTGCACCTGAACTAATTAGCATTGCATTCATCATTTCTTTTAATGTTTTGTTCAGTCTTTCTATAACTCCATTAGATACAGGTTGATAGGGAGCTATGGTTTCATGTATGATTCCATTTTCTTCAAAGAATTTTTCAATGGTTTGTCCATCATACTCAGTCCCTCTATCTATTCTAAGTCTTTTTATTTTCTTTCCTAACTAGTTTTCTACTTCAGTTTTGTAGTTAATGAAAGCTTGATCAGCCTCATCTTTTGATCTAAGTATAACTACTTTTGCATATCTAGAGAAGTCATCCGTAAATGTTATATAGTATCGTTTTCCTCTTCTAACTTCATGACATTTAAGGTCTCCTAGATCACTGTGTATAAATTGTAACAATTCAGTTTCTCTTTATACACTTTTATGAGGTTTCTTAGTAAATTTTGCTTCTACACATACTTGGCATTTTTCATTTGTAAAATTAATAAGAACATTCAAAACTCCTAATTTACATAAACATTTTAAATAAGGAGCACTACGATGTCCTAGTCTAGCATGCCAAATATCAAAAGATTCAACAATATAAGCAGAAGAAGTAGTTTTATTCATAACAATATCAGAAGTATTCAGTACAAACAATCCTCGAGCATTGTATCATTTTCCAATAAAAACATTATTCTTAGTTAACACGGTCTTGTCTACTTCAAATGTGAGTTTCAGTCCTACTTTGTTGAGGAGTGCTACCGATACCAAGTTCCGTCGGATCTCCGGCACATGCAGCACATTATTCAGCATTAGAATTTTTCCTGAAATTAGTTTTAGGAGCACCTTTCCTTTACTGATGACCTTTCAAGTTTATGAGTTTCCCATGAAGACTTTCTCTCCTTCGGTCTGAGTTGTATACTTATAGAAGGAACTACGGTCCCCACAGATGTGCTTGGTATCACCAGTGCCCAGTACCCACTCCTTCAGCTTATCAACTAATTTTACCTCAGTTACCATAGCTACGATAACATCCTTAGTCAAATTGACTTTCGGTACCGGCAGTCATTCTTGTAATGTTCGGGTTTGCCACATACATAACAATTTCCTTTATTTTGTTGCTCCTTAAATTTTTGTTCATTTTTCACATTCAGATTCTTTTTGGATTTTGCAGTCTTTTCCTCCACCAGATTGGTTTTGGAAAACTAGTCATCATCTTTCGTTTTGTTCTTTTCTTCTATCTTAATTCGGACCATTACTTGGTCCAAAGTAATGTCCTTTCTCTTATGTTTCATATTGGTCTTGAAATCATTCCATGTATGTGGTAGTTTCTCTATGAGAGAACTGGCAATGAATCCATCTGGTAGTATCATCCCTTCCTTTGCTAGTTCCCCCACAAGAACTTGGAACTCATCTATTTGGGCAAACACGTTCATGTCTTCTTTCATGGTGAAGTGCAAGAAGTTGGCAATGACATATTTCTTGTTTTCGGGATTTTCCATGAATCCTTCATTTTCCTTGTTTGGAGACTCTCTTTCTCCCACTCTTTTATGTTTTATTGTGAAAATTTAAAAGAAAATAATAAATAAAATAGTCTTTTTCGTCGCCCATTAAAAGTGTTAGTGTTTTGGAAGTTTTAGACAATTGTCAGAAAACTTAGGGGTACTATAAGACAATATTTAAATAGTAAGGGTACAATTTGTAAATTAGCTAAACAGTAGGGCTAGTTTAAGAAATTTTCCCAATTTAATGTAAGATATAAAATTTTCCTTTATTTAAAAAGTGTAAAATATCAAAAATTTCTTAACCAATAAATAAAAAATATTAAATGTACTATTAAGGATAATTAAAATATTCAACCATTTTAATAAAATAATTAAACACTATAAAATAGATACAAAATGTTATTAAATGGTTAACAAATAAATGAAAATGATGATAATAATTTAAAAAGCAATAAATTGTTAATAAAAAGATCATCTTAATTTTTTTAGAAAATATTAGAATTATAAAGAAAGAGATGAGGAGAAAAATATAAATAAAAACAAATTTAAAAAGGAGTTTTAATGGCGTGAAGAAGGAAAAGAGGGTTGTGGATCAATCATTTTTTATCAATATTGCATGGGAAAATTCTCGATCAGTACCTTGTACTTTGGCTCGAGTGATAATTTGGTCCCTGAACTTTGAAATGCGACAATCTAGTACCCGAATTTTGAAAATGTGACAATCTAGTGGTTGTCGTTAACCAGTCCATTAATCAACCATTAAGTGACATTTGAAAAGTCAAAAATGCCCTTCGACTGCCATCTAATTCTCATTATCAACCATCCGAACGTCGACAAAAAACTGAATAGTCCCAAATCCTAGTCTCTTCTATTCAAAAAAGTTGGTGATTGTTAAAAAAAATCTAGAATTTGGGACTATTCATTTTATTGTCAATGTTTGAATGGTTGATAAAGAGAATTAGATAGCATTGGAAAGGCATTTTTGACTTTTCAAATCACTTAACAACAGATTGGAGAACAAATTGTCACTTGAGTGGGAATTTTCATAAAGCATACATAACTTGGAGAGAACTTTTTCTCTCAAAAAATCTATTACTTTTGTTTTCGAAGGGGCACATCTACTCGCGAGCAGCAACGGTAAGAATAGTAACCCAAAATTCCCATCTCTCCATTTGTTTTATTTGATTCTCGTTCTCATTCTCATTCTCCCTCATCCTCTTTCTTTTATTTGATAATTGTTTTTTTAACTTTCTCCATCCTACCCGATTC